CTGCATTCCTTAAGGGATAAGCATCATGCATCTTACCTGACAAGCCAATGCTGATGTCAGTGAAATTTTCCTCTTTATCCCTTCCTTCAGGTTTAACTATGGAGAATTATCTTTTCCCATTTGTGAATTCAGAAGTCATAGGTTTGGAAAAACAATATTCTTTATATAAGCTGAGGATTTGTACATTTCTAATCACGGTCACATCCTACAGAGCAGGGTTGAAAACTCTGAGCAGGGCAAGCCTTGTAATGAGAGGGAGCTGTGGGAGTGTTCTAGGGTACAGGTTCAACACCATAGGAAATGCATGGTCCATATTGCCAATCTATCAAATTTATATTAACTTGGAGATAATTTAACCTGGTAAGACTCAAAAGAACAACGGGACTCCAATGGAAGGTGGATGCAGAGATATAGTTCTATAGAGCAAGTTTTGTTAGTAAAATTTTCTAATTCAACTGAAATCTTACTTTAATTTTACTTAAAAACAGCTTTTTATCCCTTGAAAAGTCAAATTAATTCAGAATGTCAAAAAAATTAGACACCTAATGAGGAGTTACACAGCAAAGCGCCATTGGAGGATCTTCATATCAGGCCTAGCAACATTATATAGAGCAAAAAAAAAAAAGATCCTTTAAAAATTCAGCTCTCTGAACCCAGATGACTGGGAATTTTAAAACTCCTCTAGGCATCTAAATGCTTTCAAAGAACTTGCTTTGTGCATCTGAGAAATCTAGAAGATATTTAGATATGCATCAACACTGAAACGTATTTTGTGATAAAATGTTGCCGTGGTTAAAGAGGACGCTTTGCACAATAAGAAACCATTCTTAGCTTTATGAGTCTGTACATTGGTTAGAAATGTCTGGGACAGTATTAGAATTTGCAGCCTCTTCCATATAAAGCCAGCTAAATGACTACAGATAATGATGACTTCATTTTTGTCTCATTTAAAACATCCTGGGGAGGGGACATTCACTGTGTGTACCTAATTTGCATATAAACATTAGGTGCATCAGCAAATAAGCCTCTCTAGGTAAGTACCTATGTTCCCCAGGTAGTCAGCTGAGAGAACAATACCTTAAAGACCTCCAGATAGAGATACTATGTACCTAACTAGTGCAGATGAATTCCTTCTCCATAGCTGTTGATCTGTCTGTACAGAGAATAGAGCTACTTACTCTAGAAGGATAGCCTCATTAAGCATCTGAAACGTAGGTATTTATTGTGTGCTTCAGTTAGGTGGGCTGGGTTTCACGCCAAGGAAGTATGTTCTTCCTATGTAGTGGAGTGAACGAGTGGCTTGAGCGCCCATTCTGGGCAGCTGAGTTAGCAAAAAAGCAAACTCAGCTGATTCCCTTTACTAAGCTATACTTAACATCACCTATTTAATTAAGTCGTAAGCCAAATGACTGGGGAAAAAAAGCACATGAGTTAATTAATATATCATGATGCAGTATATAAAAACCTTTGACAGAATAATAAATAATATATGAAAGGGAAAGCAAAAAGGCTTTAACTCAGGGTTGGTTCAAAATACCTCAGGCCTCAAACTATTTATGTTAATTAAATGTTTGGATCCAGGATATCTCATGTCTACATTTGCAAAGGTGTTATTTACAGCTAGAAGGTTAGCTATGTGGTTAGTATTAGTGCTCAATAATCTCAGGTAGAGCAACTAAAATAGATACAGCTATGCCATTTTTGTATGCAATATATTTGAAGCCAATTAAAATAAAATAGCTTTTCACTAAAACTGCAGCCTTCATCTAAGATGCATGCAAGACCTGGTTGTTAATTATAGATTAAACATATCTACTAGACTTTGAAATTGTTCTTGAAACTAACCCCAATAAACTGAGCTCCAAGCTCACTATTTTTGAAAATTCAAAGATCATAGAACTTCATATATATTTCAATTGTTTGTGCATATTTAACATTACATGAATGTTTTCTTGAAAAGAGGCTCTTTGCACGCATCACCATATAATAGTATAATTTAATCATATGACTACCACTGGAATAGTTGCTTATACTCGATTAAGCTTGATCCCCTCATCCACTGGAGAGACTTGTTTAGTCTTTTATAAAAAATAACAAACATGTTTGTTAATTGATTGCTGTTTCTACTCTAATTGAAATGTTCCACAAACATGCTTTCTTAACATTTTACATTCAGCCGGAAGTTGAAAGATACATTTTTTTTCAAGTATTAATATGAATATCTGGTGCACAGCAGAAATGAAGCTCTTACAAAATAAGGGATTGCATATCCATAAAAACTGATGCTATTGAAGACTTCAAGGCTTTTCTTTATGACTTCTACAAAACATCCATGTATTTTTATATTTCTGTAAGCTACTGCAGAATGGTCACTTATAATACCTGCACTGGAGAAACAGGCATAAACTGAATGAGGGAACAGAGTAACATTTTCCTATTTGGTATCCACTGAGAATCAATCTCCGTGCAATTGCAATCTCTGTGGCCACCACTAGACAAACTGATAGGAGGTCCGTGGGACTTACCAGAGAACATCAGAAAGCAGCTCTTTATGCAGATGATATGCTTTATAGACTATGCATTACTTCCGTTAATCTGTAGCCTAATCAGAAAATGACCCCCACCTCAGCAGGCTGAATGTTCAGAAGGAGGAATCTAAAACAGAGGTAGCGGGGGATAGGGAAGAAGGAAAAGAGTCCTGAACAGCTTATAGGATTCTTGTTAACACATCAAGAAGAGAGGTGGGAGGGAAGTACGTAAACCTACTGGGTGATTTGAGAAGTGAACGAGGAAAGATGCATGGTGCTAACAGAACAATATGTTGATCCAGAGTCATCCCGGAGAGGAAAGAGAATAACACACTGCTCAGGTTGCTTGAGTTTAGGGGATGACGACGCAAGGAGTCCTTCAACATTTGCAAGAGAGGGGAAAGTGCTTGGGGATCCTGAGTTACAGAGAGGATAGGGCACGGGATCTCAAATAATTGGTCAAGGCTGAATGAGAGGGATGTTTATCCCTTTCAGTCTTCCAGGTTTTGTTTTGTTTTGTTTTTGGCTGCGTTACTGCATACCAGCCTCCCCTCTAAGTGGCTTTTTGTACAAGTTATTGACTCCACATAGGGTAAAATCCAGCAGGAGTAGAAAAAGAGAAAAAGATAGGGATCCCAAGTGAGATTCTTTCTTCTCTCAACTTCTCACATGCATATTTTTACATTAACCTTCAGAAGCATTCTCCTCTTTCTATTATTTCTGTCACACCAATCCTTCCTAAAAGTGTCTACATTGTCACTATTAAAGTATGGTCATTCCATCTCCAAAAAGCAGCAAATCAGGTATAACATGCTGTTATATGAAAGCTGGTAAATTCCACAGGCAAATAATTGCTTTTCTAAAAACAATTTTCATTAAAAAGTCTGTACTGCACATTAAAAAATCCAGCCCTCATTGCTTAATATCTTCAACAAATAATACAAAATGTTGTTGGAAAAAAACAATTTTCCTACTAAAATTTTCCTACTAAGTATAGAAGCCATTCCCTTAAAAATAAAATTTAAACAGGCACGCATGAAAGAGAATAACAACAGAGCATTACCAAAGGATGGGTCTATAAATCCTCAAAGTACTTCACAAATATTGCACTAAATCCCACTTTTAGTTTATCTACTGACTGTACTTACACCAGCACATTCAAAGACTTATAGTCGCCATCACTGTTACTGATTGTCCCAGTAGCAATGTTGTCATAGCTGTTATTACACTGTGTATGCTTTACATTACCTGAGGAAACATGGGGAAGAAGAGAGTTTTTTAATGTGTGGTATGCTGTATCTCTGCATACAGAAAATTCCAATTCAGCAAGAAGAGTCCAGGAAAATCATTTGCCTGTGGTAAAGAGAAAGTTGTAAACATTGGGGTTACAGACAATCCTGCAGGATCAAATATTGTGTCTGTTTTGGAATGTGCGCCCTGATATCTGTATTGTTTTGGACACAAGTTACTGAATTTTCTTACACTGGAAGTTCAAAGAGTGCAGTCAGGGACTGACTGCATGGCTTGCACGCTGAGTCTCACAAAGACTATGATAGTATAATATTGCTTACATTAGAATGAAGAAGACGGACTGTAACGTTTCCCAGACTACTCCAATTATCGGTTTCACTGTACTTTTCCAGAGTTGTCTCTAAAATTTCTTTATTTGACTAAGATACACAGTTTCCACAAAATGTATTAAATCATCTGTAGGCAGTAGGTTGAAGGCAAATATATCAAATGTTATGTTTTAAAATATGGCCTGAGAGAGGGAGAATGGGAAGCAATCAATAGTGAAACTGCTGTAGTCATCACTTCCTATAAGTTTTACTCGAGATTTCCCCAAGATAATCAATGAATTGATTTATGCTCTTGAACAGGTTTAGAGCTAATGTATTAAGGGTCAATGAAAAAAATCAATACCACTTTATATCTTGGCAACCACTCAACATGCAATTTTGTTAGAAAGAAAAACGGAAAGTCAATTGTTGAAATACATAAGTAAAGAGCATATCTAAAGTTTTTGAATCTAGTGAGAGAATCCACACCTTTCTTCTAATCAGATGGAAAACAGAAGTGAAATAACACAGGTTCATTGAATTTTGAGTTATTTACTATAATGACTCATAAGTTAATAACTGGTGACTTATCAACAGGTGCCACAGCTCAGAGATCTGGTAAAAGTTATTAGGAAGCAAAGTTATTAGGCTCCTGCCACTAACTTCTTAAGCATATAAAAGTAGAATAGTTAACAACCACCCAGTGTTGGGTCCTGTCCTGTCCTGTCCTGTCCTGTCCTGTCCTGTCCTGTCCTGTCCTGTCCTGTCCTGTCCTGTGGCATCATCTTGGTTACTGTATGTTTCTGTCCTTTCCCTAGGCTACAGCTGTATCTCTGACTGCTAAATCCACTTGTTATGTCAGTACATGTTTTCTTTTAGCAGTGAGGCTTTTTTTTAATTAGTTCCTATAAAGATGTCTAAGGTATTTATCTGTCTTTACTGACTCTAAAAGTTTAGATGATGAGCCTGAAACATCTCAGCAATGCCTGGCTGTATCAAGATGAGATAGAACACTTCTGAGGTGTCCATAGCCCACAGGTTATAGGCAACTATGCTCAAGTCTACAGGCTCTGAGAAGAGGAGAACACTTGGAAGTAACTGTGAAAACTATGTTTTTTTTTTTTTTCCAGGATGCCCATTCCTATAGGAAATTCATAGGATAAGATAGGGCAGTTAAGAAAAATGTGCTCTCTTCTGACAGTAACTAGTGTAGTGTTCAGGCAGTTGTGTGTAAGCTATGTGCTAGCCTCACTGGACACGAACCATGTCTTCTAGAGGATGGCTGTGGGGAAAAAAACGACTAAACTGAGGCAAGTTATCAAATATATTTTCTTTCTCTCTTTACCAAACAACTAATGTGAATGTCTCACTTCTGAGGAAAATGCAAGTTTTTAAACCTTTGATTAGGGCTAATCTGTGGCTGTAATAGATGCTTGTCCTTTCCTCTGACCATGAAAGAGTTCTTAAGCTACCACAGCCCTGGAGCTGACTAACACTGGTGACATCTATATAATCCCCTGTGACATCTCAGGTTTTATTGCTAAGCTGCCATAGGATTCAAATAAAGCTGTGTTTAGACTGAAATGCTTTGCTTTGATTTGTAGAGAGACAGCTGAGTACAGTCACCTCCACGTGAAGAAAAATGAGTGAGTTAAAATGTGAAATTATTAAGGCCCTGAAACAGTTCGGTGCTGGGCTCTCTAGGACAGCTAGTTTCAAGAGACTCCGAGGACGCAGGTGACAAGGCCGTCTTCAAAGGACGTCTTAAAACACACCTTTAAAAAGCTCACGTTTCTTCCGAAGCGCTTTAAACCGAGATCCTCGCAGCAGGACCCCCGCGCCTCAGCCGCTGAGGCGCAGCGGCGCC